AGAGATATCGTTTTTAAACCTTTTTTGTATGGAATTATATCTACAAACAATTCTCTATAAAACTACATTACAATCAATTGAATGTAACATTTATATCGAAAACTAGAAAGGTTTTAAAAGATGCATGTCAAACTAAAACTTTCAAGTAATTTTGAACTTAATTAATTAATAACTCTGTCAGTACTTGATCAGCGAGTTTTTTATTGCATAGGCATACCACCGAATGTGTTCTCTACAAACTGGTCAAATTTGAGGGCATGTTTGGGGAGAGGACATTCCCCGCTTAAAATATTTGTATTTGAATAAATTTTGACACTTTTCTGGCAAAAAGACCCCAAAAAACCGTAACAAGAGAAACAGCAATGATGAGACATTTTATTGGTATTAAGCAAGACAGTGGCACGATTTTATCGCAAACAAAGCGTCACTAAGTTTGCGTCATTTTCCTCTGGAGGATAAATATACTAAGCTTGCTTATTTCACTCATAAGTTTGAGTTGACACAGATCTTGGCCCGAAAAATAGTTGAGAAGTGTAGAAGTGCGGGCATTTTTTAAAAAATTTCCTCGTACATAGGTTTCTCACCTACCAGTTTAGTCAAGATGTATCAATATCGCATGTTTACTAAGCGATATGAGCTTTGCCAGAAAGTTTTAACGTACTGTATATATGACGTGCGATTCTCACTTTTATATGCTAACTAACTGGATTTTATGTGGCTTGCATTCCTCACACTGACTATTTTGTTCGCAGTTTAAGATAGATATTGCTCTTCTTAGGAGAACTGTTCTGTGCAACCGAAGATGGAAGCCTGCACAGATACAATATTAATCAATCGTTGTTTAATGCACAGAACAATGACTTATTTGAGCCACGATCTAAATATCCTATCGATCAATTATATTTAAGCGGTCGACATGCAGTAACAGTTGACAAAAATCACAAGTAAGTTAAAATTTGTGTTCATGCTCTCAACAGATAATACGCGTACAAGGTTTGTGTGTTTTTGAGCTAAGTTCTTTTCTACAATTTAGAGAGCTGATAGTTTGGCTTTATGAACAAGCATGTGTTAAGGTGCAGACGAAGAACATTTGTCAACAGATTTGTAATTGTGCTTTCATGTCAACGGATGTGCATTGTGTTGACGATACATGCTTATTTATATTATTGATCAACGACACCTCATCGAGCATCGAAATATATCGTGCTAGTCAGTTAGACAAAGACAGTGTTTTTACGCTGGTAATATCCGCAACGACTACAGTTATCTATACCTATCAAAACTGCTTTATTGTTTTATGTGATGATGGTTGCATCTTTCATATATCACATAATAGTTCAAACAATGTCCAATTCTCTTCCGTCCATTTTAATTTACCTTTTGCTCCAAAACACTTATTTAGCTCACTGATAACAATAAAGTCTGACGATTATTTAGCCATTTTCAATGATAGTTGTTCAGAACTGGTTACATTAAATCTGGATATCAAACAAATCGATGTTGCAAAAATCAGCTTTTCTTTTCCAGCAACTTTAATAGCTATTGCACCATTACAAAAACCAAGCAATCGCTTGATTCTAAGATTTTCAGATAAATCATTGGGTTTGTGTATAGTCGAACCAATAATAACAACAACACGTCTCCTTCCAGTTTGTTCAGCTGAAATCTTTTGTACAAAAACAAAGTATCTTGTGACTTATTTTGATTGTCATCTGAACGTCTATAATATTTGCACAGAGAAATTTGATAATAATAGAATTAAACTAGATGCTGTGTGTCAGTATTTATGTCTGAGTGATAATGAAAAGTATTTATTCGTGATTGTTCAGCCGCATATTTTGTATATGTACACAACTACTGATCTTCGCCAAATGGCAAAACTGTTTTTACCTGATTATGTTAACTTCATAAATGCTAACAATGAATATCTTATCATAGCGACAAGAAATCGTCGTCTATTAACCTTGATTATTTCAGATCCAAATGATCTAGAACTGCCGAAGAAAACAGAAGCTTTATTAAGCAGGTATTGTACTTTGGATGTCCAGTGTTATATCTCTCTAATTAAGAGTGTGCCATATAAGCCTGAATCTCTGAGTTAGGAATGCTCGGTTCTCATGCGGAATTGCAGTTTCGAAAAAATGAATCGAAACTCGAAAATCATGGTTCTGGCCCTGAAGTTGGAATCGGAACTGTTATATCTCTACTCTAGTCCTGCTGGTCAGCAAAGATTGTCTCGACAGACGATAGTGGTGCTTTATCAATGAAAAGCCAGAAATTCAGTGTGTTAATTTTTTATCGTTTTAGATTATCGCACGAAAAATTAGTAAGAATAGTAAACGACGGAAATGTCGAAGCTGCAGCTTGTGCAGCGCTTCGATTGAATAGAACGCAAGATCCAGTTGACAGAACATCGGGCGTATGGTTAGATCGATGTCAACCACGATTTACCTGTGAGTTTATGATACCATATGCTTCCCACGACGAATGTGCAGAGAATTTAAATGCTGTGTTAGGGAGTACAACTGCAGATATGAGCAAGTTCTATACTACGATCAGTTCTGAGGCCGCCAATGGCTTTGACTTACCCAAAGGAAGATCAGGATACTGTCAAATGTCAAAAACCTGCACTATTCAATAGAAACCGTATATGATTTGCAACTTCTTTTGAACAAAAATGTTTCTGCATAGAGAAATATAGGCTATATCTCAAAAACATGATGTTCATCTATCCGTTCAGGAAATATTTATGATATCCGAAAAATGTATCAATTCGAGAGTGAAGTGTTGACTTCGGAATACATTAATTCGGCTTGATGCTAATTAAAAATGAGTTCTCGGTAGCCAACAAGTGTCTGAATAATAATTGCTGGCGTTCGCTGAACAGAAACGTTTCTTCTTTTACACTTAAATAATTTAACGTATCGTCAACCCTATGAGTGTGACGCCGGACCCATTACGCAATGTGTTTCGTGTAATATGATATGGTAAAAACAAAGCAAAGGATAGAAAATAAATCAAAGAACGTCTTTTCGAGCATAAAACACGAGAATTAGTATTCTGCCGCAACCCACTTCGTAGTATGCTTTTTATCAGGTTCTTTATGTTAGCTTAAAGCATATTTCTATAAGATTAACTAGACTTTTAGATTTCTTAGGCTTCTAGACTTTTAGCCTTTTCAATTATTAAGACTCTTAAACATTTACATTTCTCAGACTTTTAGATGTCTTACACTTTTAGACTTATGACTTCCTTAGGAAGACGTCAAAAATAAATCTACGCGTAGATGTAGATCAATAATATTCTCTTTTCTTTTGCTTTCTCTGACTTTGCAGAATGAAAGAAAATCGGATACATTTCTATGTACAGAATAGAACAAATTTTCATTTTTTTATTCTCCGTTACACAATCTAACGCAATCTAAACCTGTTTATAAATATAAGTTACACATAGATATATATTTATATATCCGCTTCAGATAAAATAATCTAAAAGCTATACGAGCGTTTACGATTTAAGGCTCCCCCTCGTCAGAAACCTATCTCTGAAACTATAAGTCCGATCTTGACTAAACTTTCAGGAGATGCTGATCTTGTAAAAGTATGATGACGAAATTTTTTGTTTGGCTCCATCATGCATCGTTTGTGAGATGTCGCCACAGCGGTGACCAAAACGGGGCTGCTCATAGCTCCCAGATTTCGCAGTAACCGAACATTGTGGAGAGCTCGGGCAGGGCTTACATTGACAAAAACACACGTGGCTAGAGGGTAATAGAGTCAGATTTTTATATTGTTCTTTTCAAATTAATGGTCAGCTTCAAAAGTCCAAAATTCGGAAAAGTCTCATTAACTTTGGTAAAGATGTTTTTCTAATAAAAAATCTAGACCGAATATCAAAACTTGGATTCTATGAGTCTCTAGCCACATGTGTCAGCTTCAATTAAAAACCTTTTCGAGCTCTCTACGATGTTTCGTTACCGAGAAATCTGGGAGCTACGAAATGGTGAAAAGAATAAATTTTCTATTTTAGCGTGAATTTAGTTTGCTATGTTTTTCTCTCTCATTGTGAATTTAGTTCATAATTCGTCAACTTGATCAATTAATGCCGCATTAAGTCGAGAGTCCTTACTTGCCCTTTTTACTCTAACTCCAAGTGCACAAGTTACACGGATTGGGTGACGTTCATTAAAAATACTTCCATTAAAACGTTTTTTTTAATGAAAGTCGAACTTTCATTAAAATGTCTCATGCAAAATGGCTGTGACCCAGAGTTTCTGATGGCACAAGAATTTCATTAAAATTTTAATAAACTTCCTTTTAATGCAAGTCTTTTTGATGAAAATTTTTTCAATGAAACTTCGTTATCCCAGTTACACATTATGCTCAGCTATTTTTCAGAAGAAGATCACCTGAATTTGTGGAGATCTCGGACCATCAATACACACCACATCAAAAACTAATTTTTGTTTTCGTATAAAAAATGAAGTGGATGCCAATAGTAATTTCTCTTACTTGCTCAAAGATAATTAACTGGTTTACTTTATTGATACATTTTCTGTATTAGTTTCATACACAGAATTTCATTTTACAAATTAATTTGGTAAGTTAGTTTTTTCTACATTGAATTACACACATAATCCAATTTTAGTAACAGTAATCATGAGAATCAATTTGTTTTGTAATTGTATCATCTGATAGGTATACGATGAACTAACTCGCACATATATATCTGAGCTAACTTATTAAATTAATTTGTAAACAGAAATTCTATGTGTACAAACTAATACAGAAAATGTATAAAAAAATTAAAATTCTAAAAAAAGTACAATTGATACAAGCCGGTCCAGTCATCTTGACTAGCACTGAACTAACCCGTACAACGTCGGCTGGTAAGTTCCGTCTGTATAAAGACGAAAGTGGGAGTTTTGGTTTATGGGTGCCAAACTCGCAAGCTTTCTACTCCGATGGCACTCTACTGAACATCCGTGCTCCAGATGCCCAATCAGGTCGGACGATTGGTAGGTCCCATCGGGGCAGATACAAGTCAGTTTAGGAAAGTCGGTCATACAGCCACGACTCTGACTATCGGCGGAACGACAGAGTTTTTACTAACTCGAGTCGAATTCATCGTGAATTCAGGGTAGCTCCATATGACCGATTGGCCGGGTACGGAATCGTTACCGACCACAATCGACAGCAGCACCATTTTTCATCATAACGGCATCATCATCATTATCATTGTCGGAGTGATGTGCCGGCGAGTCGATCGCGATTGACAGCCAGCAATCACCACCGTCCAGCACCATTCGAACTTGCGCGTCCGGCTAGCTCTTCAACAGCCACGCTAGTCAGGCACTCAACCTTGACGCACGAACGTCAGCAATAAAAAACGTTGCAAAGTCGAAAACGACGTGAGCGTCAGAAATGAGTAGTAACGGCGGCAAAAATGATGGCGATGGAGCAGGACCAAAACGAACATCAACAGTCCGCTCCATCGCTTTCAGACGAAGATGGCAATGGTAATGATGATGTACTACCGAAACATGTAGCGGAACTCATCCGGGTGGATAAGGCATCCGACATGGAGAACTTGGCAGACGATATGGAACGTCTCGGTGGAAACGAACAACCACCGCAGCAGGGCAAAAGCAGCAATTAAAAATTGTGTGCCGTCTATGCCTGCGGCCTGTGCGGACATGCAGATGCAGTTAAGACAGTCACTTTAGGGCAGAAAGCCTATTTTTATTTTTATTTGTGTGTGTCTTCCCACTTTTGAACTTCTTTCTTTATTATTTTTTTATTTTTTATTTTTCGTTTGTGTTCTAGATCAAAATACTTGCTTGATGAGTTTTATTTTTAAATAAAACGAAACGCGTCGCAATAAGCAACAGTTTTATTTTCTATGGCACCATGAACAATATTCTAAACCAGCAATATATGCAGTGATCCCTGGGTTTCTCATATAGGTATGACAGCCTAGAATGTCCTCTACAAAATGGGGACTAAGCGACGTCTTAATGTTTCGCGGTTTAGGCGCGCCATCGTATTTTCTCGAAAACCCAAGATCGATATTTCCTTAGGCGTGATAATCTCGAAAAATGAATGGAAACACAGGTTATTCATCATGGTGAGTTGCGCGACAATGTTCGTTTATCGAAAAAATCCAGACACATAGTGAAAATCTATATTAGATGAAATCCAAGGGGGAAATAGCGGACTCCGGGACTCCCGGACTCCTACGAGTACAATGGGACTCCCGGACTCCTACGAGTACAATGGGACTCCGAGACTCGGAAAAGCACTCGCGCAATCCGGATAGGGCTTCTGGAGTACGGGAGTGCGAAATCTCTAGGATCACCGCGGGATACGCGTTTTT